CTCACCAAAACATTACAAGAAAAGGCTTAGAAATGGAGAAGAGGTTTTAAGAGAATGGATGGTATATTCCGTATTTCAAAACGCTTTGTGCTGTTTTCCATGTCGACTTTTTGCTGCACCATCTAGCTTGAGCGCTCTTGGTAATCGGGGATTTAAAGACTGGAAGCATTTAGGGGACTCTTTAGCACATCATGAAAATACTAAAACTCGTGTAGATTGTTTGAAATCATGGCTTGAGTTGAAGCAAAGATTGAAAATAGGTGAAACAATAGATGCAGGTTCTCAGAGACTCATTGATTCTGAGATAATACACTGGTCTGAAGTTCTTTTACGCATTATATCAGTCGTTAAAATGCTAGGCGAGAGCTCTCTAGCTTTTCGAGGAACAAGTGATAAACTGTATGAACACAATAATGGAAACTTTTTGAAGTTAATTCAGTTATTGGCTGAGTTTGATCCAAAAATAGAGGAACATGTTCACAGAGTCCTCAATAAAGAAGAAATCAAAGCTACATGTCTAGGGAAAACTATACAAAATGAAATAATTGAATTATTGCATGACAACATAAAGCACCACATCAATGAGCAAGTTCAAAAGACCAAGTATTATTCTGTGATTCTTGACTGTACTCCCGATACAAGTAAAGTAGAACAGATGACATGTGGTAAGATTTGTCTCCATGCGGGAATCAGAGTCTGAAGTTCAAGTTAATATCAACGAACATTTTTTGGATTTTCTACCCCTTGAGAGATCAACAGCTAAGGAATTGTCGGAGCTTTTACTAGAAGAGCTAGAGAAAAATAGGCTTAAAGTAGAAAACATGCGCTGTCAAGGGTATGACAATGGTTCCAATATGAGAGGAGAAAAATCGGGAGTACAAACAAGAATTAGAAATATAAACCCCAGAGCATTTTATGTTCCATGCAGCAGCCATTCGCTAAATTTGGTTGTAAACGATATGGCAAAATTCTCGTTTGAGGCAGCCAACTTCTTCAATATTGTTCAAAAGTTATATACATTTTTTTCTTCTTCTTTTCATTGGGCAATATTACGGAAATGTATTGATACTTACACCCTAAAACAATTGAGTGATATGCGATAGGAAAGTCGAGTCAACTCATTAAAAGCTCTGTGGTTTCAAATTGGTCCAATTCACGATGTTTTGTACAGCATATATGAAGATTTAGAAATCGATAATATGATCAGAGACGAGGCTAGCGGATAATTAAATAATTTGAAGCATTTCAAATTTATATGCTCTGTTGTGATCTGGTACAAAATTTTGAGTCATATTAATCCCATCAGCAAACTTTTGCAAACTGTAAATTTTGATATGTCACAAGCTATTGATATGCTTAGCAACTGCAAACTCTTCTTTGAAAACTTGAGATCAGATGAAACTTTTGAAAGCATCATTTTAGAAGCAACCGAGCTTGCTTCAGAGATTGACGTGGAAGCTAATTTCGAAACCACCACACCACATCATCGTGTCAGAAGCAAAACAAGAACATTTTTGTATGAGGGCCCGGATGAACTCGTTCAAGACCTCAAACAAAAATGTAAAATAGTTTTTTTTCCACACTATAGATCAAGCAGTAAATGCCTTGGAAACCAGATATAATTTGCTAAATACTCACAGTAATTATTTCAGCTTTTTGTATAATATTTTTGGTCTAAAAGACATGCCCAGAAAATCGTCTCAATGGATTGGCAATGATAGCTATAGAACACCAAATTAGTGACAAATTAGACTTAAAATCACTGGTTCATGAGTTTGCCGGAAGAAAAGTTAGGTAAAGGGCATTTTAATTACTTTGGTTAGTTAGAATTTATTTATAATATGGGATATTAGTTTAGTTAGCATTACTACACTTTAATTTTTGTTATTTTGCCTTAAGTGCTAAATTGCTTATCTTGTTATTTGATTATTGAGTTTTTAATAAAACGTTTTTTTTAAAATATTTTTTTTCAATGTTTTCTTGACTTCCTGATATGGTCACATGAGATTTACTTAAAAAAAAAAAAAAAAAAAAANGGGGGGGGGCGCAAAATTAAGGTTTTGCCCGGGACGCCAAAATGTCTAGGGCCGGCCCTGCGCACACCCTCGGTCGATACGCAGGCAGATCAAAGTGGTCGCTCACCCGCTCACTAACCTCAGCCAGTGATGCTTGACTTTGGTGTTCTACTAGGAACTGTTTATTTACGATCAGCCCACTGAAGGACAAATTAGATGAAAAAGAACAAAGAATAAGCCAGGGCTGCCACTCCAGTCTGGAAAAAAAAATTTCCCGTGTTTTCCCTATAGATATTATACACAATATATTAAGAGGAAACACATTATCATTGCGCTTTTGCGTGAGCTATATTGTACTAACTATACTAAATTCAATTACCAGAGAAACTTAAAAAAGGTAAAGTTGAACATATTTAAAACAAATAACGATAGAGTAAATTAAATAGTTTAGAATAGCTGAAATATCATAGTTAAATATGCCATTAATTGCGCTTTGAGTGGTCACCATTTTTTAAAAGACGAAAATAAGGAACAAAATTTCATGTATTTTCCTGGTTTGCAAAGAAAAACTAAAAATTCCCAGCAGTTTAGGTGATTTTTAAATTTCCTGTATTTTCCAGGTTTTCCCTGTGGAGCGGCAACTCTGTAAGCAATGATAAAAATTATGATCTAGAAACACAGATGTATTTTATGCTGAAAATACAGCTCAAAACTTTAAAAAATGATTGATGTAAATTAGTATGAGGGACCACTGATTATTATTTCATGGTGACGTGAGTCAGATTTTAGCAGTCTATGATCACCATACCACCATTAATTTTGTGTCCTAAATATTATTTAACTTAAAAATAAACGAAACGAGGAAAGTTGAACAATAATGATTAATTGCAATTTGAATTAATTTCAATCATCAATTGAAAAATTCAATTAAAAATTAATTTAAAAAAATACTTTACCCTCTTCTGATGACAAAGTTTCATCATCGGCATTTTCAGATTTCGAAGCACGATATATATCACACTCTGACAAGTTATCCTTGCTGGCAGATAAGTCACCACAACTACTAGATTCAGAAGGCAAAATTTCTATGTCATCGCTTTCTTTTGAACTACATCTTGTCCGATCAGGTGGTACTAGTTCAGAACCACATTCTTTGACAATATCTAACACTTCCACCATTTCTGCAGCAGAAGGTGAAGCTGCAATAGGTATAGAAGCAGAGCCTGGAGATTGTGAGATTTCGGTTGTTAGCGTGAAGCGGTCTGTAAGTTTTGAGGCTAAATCTGCATCGGAGACCATTTGAGGAGGAATGGAACTCACAACTGGCGTATTGAAAGGTACTATTGGGGGAGTGACAGTTAAGGTTTGATGAGAGAGATCAGGTATTAGCCAGGTTTCACCACGTTCTTGTCTTCTTGCTTCAATGGCTTGTCTTGCCTTAATGTGAGCAGTAATATTTTCTAAATAATAATAATAAGATTTTATCAAATGAAAGCATGTTTATGATAATAATAAAAAAAGCAAGATTAAGGATTCCTAATTTGAATTTTACTTTTGATACGAAAAATATTCTCAACTTAAAACAGTCATAATAAAAAAAAGCTCAGTTCACTATAGTTAGTTCATACACAATACTGTAATATCTAAATCTTTACAAAAGGTGGAAAAATTTTATGATTGCCTTTTTAATGTAAGATCCATTTATAGATAAGATTTAATGTATATATTTTCTCCACTACAGACTATATTAATATTTCTTACAAGAGAATATATATATATATGAAAGGGTGGTAGTCATGGTCGAGTGTTGTTGAGCTATGCAGTTGGAAGGCAAAAAATTATTTTATTTAGCTTCAAACAGTATAGTCAAAACATTTTTTATCGATGGCGGAGCTCAAATTCACACTCCAAAACTGTGTACTTAAGTTTTTATCCTAGGGAAATTTCCCTCTATTTTATTATATTNAAAAAAAAAAAAAAAAAAAAAAAAAAAAAAAAAAAGAAAAGAAAAAAAACATAAATTTTACAACAAAAACAAAATAAAAGAAAAAGTATAAATTTGATTGAAAATAAAAGAGAAAGGTTAAAACAAGACTTCAAGATCTGAAACAAAAGTATCATTTAAGTATTGAACATTTAAGAAAAAAATAGATATTTCACTAAAATCATCATAAGAGATTTTTAAACATATTTAAAATTCACTGTTTTATAAGATTTAAGTATAAATGTAATAATCTAACTATCTAATACAATATGTAATTACTTATTTTTTCAAAATAAGAAGTAATAAATAAATTACAATAATTTTGTAATAAATTACAAAATTGATAGAACTATTTTTATAATATTATATAAAAAATTTATAAAAATAAAAATTTTATAAAATATAAAACATAGAGCTTCAAGGAATAAATCCTTTTGGTATAAAAATAAAAGAAAAGAAGTAGCACAATATGCTATGCTTAAAAACATTTATTAAAGAATATTGAGAACATACTCTAGTTAAAACTAAAATTTATAACACATTTAAAAATTAACAATATATTTTATTTAAAATGTAGTTTCTATCAAATTATTGCTTTTGGAAAATACGTATGTAATTGCAAAACATAAATCTATTTGATTTAGATAGAAAATAATCCAACACAGCAATGTATTAATTTTTTACAGCAGTTTTAAATAATAGAAAAAATAACTGGCGCAAAATAACCATTTTTGTACAAAAAATAAATTTAAACAAGCATTACAACTAAAGCAGATATTACAATTTAAAGTCAATAAAATTTATTGTCTTAGTACATGTAAAACTCAAAATATTATATAAAAAATAAACAAAACTTTTCAAAATCATTCTTGAATACAAAATGAAGAAAATTCATTTCAAATTATAACATTTTCATTAAAGTTTAATGATCATTTTTAAAATAACAATTAAATAACATGTAAATATCAAAATATATTTAAAAAGAATGTGTTTAAACATACTTCAAGAGCACCAAGGGTAACATCCTTTAAAGTTTTAGCGTCAGCAAATGGCTGCAAAATTTTAGAAAGAGCCTAAAATATAAGTACTAATTAGTTGAGAACGCAAACAACTAAAACAACTCATATAATCAAGGAATAGATATTATATATGTGGCTCAGTGGCTGAGTGGTAGGACTCCATGCTTCTGTGCCACAGGTTTGGGGTTCTATCCCCTAACTGGCAAGGCTGACTCAGACTTTCATACTTTTGGCGAGAAGATAAAATGAGTTCCAAGCATGCTTAGAGAATAAACACTTGGTGTTTTGTGTTCAGCTGACCACCTAACCAAAATATCTGTTCTTGTACCATAAAGATCAAGGTTATGAATCTTAGTACATCGCGGTAAATGTGTTATAGTTATATATGTGTTATAGTTATATAGAAAAGATATAAAGAAATTTTTATGACATCTAATTAAGTAATCACTTTTTGAAACACTTGATTTGCATTAGCCATTGTTTTTTCAGTGAACTACAGATTCTCCTATGATATGACTATGGATTTCTCCTAAGTTTTTCAAAATTCGATTATTTGTAATCTGATTTTAATACAGCATGCATTTTTAAAGACCACATTTTTGTACTATCGTTTTTCTCATACAAGAAAAACTTAATGCAGAGATTTCCCAAATGAGGAAGATTGGGTATTGGCACAGACAGAAGGAAAAAGAGGCAGAAATGCGTAAAGCTTCAGTAAAATGTGGAAGAGTTAGGATATAAGTTAATATAAAGTATAACAAAATATATATGACAGTTTAAAACACAATTTTTTTTACCTCAGCACGTTCCAAATTTTCCATTAAATACAGTCTCTTCTGCTTAGTAGATTTTAATGTATCAAATTCCAAATGAATCTTGTGCTGAAGTTTACCATCCTGTTTGGTAATTAATATACAAAATTATTTTATAAATAAAAAACATATAAAAATGCAGATATTTACTTAAAAGACAAATAAACCGCATGTCTGAAACTGAAAAAAAGAAGTTAAAGGAGAAAATGCGTATGAGTTAAAAATATTAAAACAATATACTTGAAAAGCAATTAAGGAGATAATTGTGTGCAGAAAATTTATCATCAATCAATATTTTTGTTCAATGTTGCTTCTAAGTTGTACAGAATCAAATTTAATAGCATATAATATTAATTACAGCAAAATTTTAAACAAGACAATTGATATACTATCAGTAATAGAAAAATAGATTTAAAAATGCAGTATTTGAAAAAATGTTCCCATTTTCTTGGAATTATAAAATATTAGTGACATAAAATTTTAATCAAATAAGTCATTTAAATATGAAATAAATAAAACTGCAAATTAAAATAGAAACAATTAGGTAATAAAACTGACTGTAAAATCTGCAGATTTATTGCAAAACATATTTAACAACAAAAAAAAAAAAAAACTTGATAATAATTTTATAGTAAACTACTTAAAAATTCCCAATCAACTTCATTTGATGGAATTTTATACATTTTGCAAAAATGGAATGATGGAAAATTATTAACAAAGTGGCTATAATACAATTAACAACACTTTGTTTTGATAGCGTCATGAACTCATATAACTTTTTCAGCAGCAAGCTTCACATTTTAGTATAAATTTAAAACAATTTAAGAACAGAAACTCAGTTAAATTGGCAACTACATTACTATAAATAAAAGTAAATCAACTTCCAGTAAACCACTTTGAAAAATGTAAATAGCTAGCACATGAACTCAAACTCTATTAAATAATTGATTGATTAGTTTTTATGCTTTTTGAAAACGTGCATTATAAAAAAACATTTAACATTAAGGGGTGCAAATGTTGAACTGCTCTACTGACCAAACTAGTCAGACTGTACTTCCCAGAAAGTACATTTATGTGCCTGATTTCATAACTAAAAATACTATTTGCCCTAATTTAGAATATTTGAAGACACCTCCTCGAACCATTAAGATTGAGTCCTAGAACTTGAAAATCTGATCATTAGATCAAAAGTTATTCAGGGTGGTTCGTTTATTTTTTGTGTCCTGTACGCATGCAGCCTATTTCATAATTAATTTCATTCTAACTGAACTTGAATCAGTTTAACATATTACTGTAATTTGAACATCATTAGTTAAAGCATATTTAATTATTTATTAATATAAATACTTTATCAAGAAATATCACACAAACCTCTTCCTTAGAGCCTAAAGAAATGGAAAGCAAGCTTGTCATATCTAAGTTCTCTAAATATTTTCCAGTAATTACATCTTTTTCTCTCAGATATTTTGGTCCTAAAGTAACTGACAGAGCTTGTCTTTTGGAACCAACCTCATTTTCAACAAAGAAAATATTGTCTTCAGATTCTAAATTCATAAATAAAACAATTTTAATATATTGCGTAGAAGTTCTAGAAATAGGCAATAAAAATAACAATATTATTTAAAAAAATTAAAGTTACATATGACAATTTAAAAAAAAATTAAAGTTAGGAATGAAATTATTTTTAAAAAAAATCAAAATAGTAAATTTCAGCTTCAAAACGTCAGAATTGTAAACTTTAAGTTTCAAATAAAATTTTTTCTACACAACATTATTTAATAAAGAAAGAAAACAAAACAAGATAAAATATAGAATACACAACATAAAATATAGAATACACAACATAAAATATAGAATACACAACATTTGTGTCACATGCACGAATAAAACTGTTTTTAAGCATCAGTAGTGAAAAATTAAAATTCTTTGATCATCTGGATAAATACAGTTATACAACAAATGTACAAGTGTAATAATTATTGAAAAAATGTAAAATAATAATAATAATTCATTCCATACACATACAACGAAAAGCTAAGTGCAGGTTATGAATAATAAAAAATGGATTAGGCTAAGTTTTTCTTTTGAAATATCATTTATAATGTAAAAATTCTCTTCTTTACAATATTTTTAGCAAAATACAGTAAGTGAATTTTATTTAAACATGTTTTATTTTAAAAATTTGTAGCATATAGTTTTAATATGACTAAGAGGTTTTTTGTATCATTGTAAATTTTGCAGGAAATATTTTTATTTTAAATTGTAATTTTTTTTTAATTAGGCAAATATTTAAATTTTTGATATACTTATAATAGTGACAAAAGAGAGGACACAAAAAGTTATGGAGTTTCTTTATAATAAAATGGAGTATTTGCACAGAGGTAAATAAGAAACAGGTTTAACAATAATACTTAAACGTTTGAGAAACAAAAAAAAAAAAAATAAATAAATAAAAAAATTGAACAAATGTACAATATTTCAATTTTTATAAAAATTTAAATAATGCAAACTAAGTTTCATATAAATTAAAATTTAATCATTATGTTTTAAAAAACTGGTTCAAATGTTAAACATTTACTATTATTAAATAGAGTATTAAAATAAATATAAGTAAAAAAAGTTATCAAATTAGACGAAAAGGTAGGTAGGTACTTTATCTATGTCGCACTAGAGCTGCACAATGGGCTACTGGCAACGGTCTGGGAAACATCCCTGAGGATTATCTGAAGACATGCCATTGCAATTCTGATCCTCTGCAAAAGGGGATGATGCCCCTGCTTTAGTAGCCCGACGAACTGCAGGCGAAGTCGAGCCCTTTAAGGTAGAACAGTTTAACAAGGACGGATACCGCACACTCTCGGTCGATACGCAGGCTAATCAAAGTGGTCACTCACCCACTTACTAATCGCAGCCAGTGATGCTTGACTTTGGTGTTCTTCTGGGAACTGTGTATTTACGATCAGTCCACTGAGGGACAAATTAGATGAAAAAGAACAAAGAATAAGCCTGGGTTGCCACTCTAATCTGGAAAAAAAATTCCCCGTGTTTTCCCTGTAGATATTATACACAATATATTAAGAGGAAACACATTATCACTGCGCTTTTGTGTGAGCTATATTGTACTAGCTTTACTAAATTCAATTACCAGAGAAACTACGAGAAAAAAGATACAGCTGAACATATGTAAACCAAATAATGCTAGAGTAAATTAATTAGTTTAGTATAGAGGAAATATCATGGTTAAATATGCCATAGATTGTGTTTTGAGTGGTCACCATTTTTAAAAGACGAAAATAAGGAACAAAATTTCATGTATTTTCCCAGTTTGCAAAGAAAAACTAAAAATTCCCTGTATTTTAGGTGATTTTTAAATTCCCTGCACTTTCCAGGTTTTCCCTGTGGAATGGCAACCCTGTAAGCAGTGATAAAAATTATGATGGAGAAACACAGATCAAAAATTTTATGCTAAAAATACAGCTCAAAACATGAAATCAAGAAAACTGTACCCTTTAACAAATGATTGATATAAATTAGTATGAGGGACCACTGATTATTATTTCATGGTGATGTGAGTCAGATTTTAGAAGTATATGATTACCATACCAACATTAATTTTGTGTCCTAAATATTATTTAATTTTAAAATAAACAAAACGAGGACTGTTGAACAATAATGATTAATTGCAATTTGAATTAATTTCAATCATCAATTGAAAAAATTAATTAAAAAAATACTTTACCCTCTTCTGATGACAAAGTTTCATCATCGGCATTTGCAGATTTTGAACCACGATATATATCACACTCAGACAAGTTATCTTTGCTGGCAGATAAATCACCACAACTACTAGATTCAGAAGGCAAAATTTCTATGTCATCGCTCTCTTTTGAACCACATCTTGTCCGATCAGGTGGCACTAGTTCAGAACCACATTCTTTGACAATATCTAACACTTCCACCATTTCTGCAGCAGAAGGTGAAGCTGCAATAGGTATAGTAGCAGAGCCGGGAGATTGTGAGATTTCGGTTGTGAGTGTGAAGCAGTCTGTAAGTTTTGAGGCTAGATCTGCATCGGAGACCATTTGAGGAGGGATGGAACTCACAACTGGTGTATTGAAGGGTACTATTGGGGGTGTGACAGTTAATGTTTGATGAGAGAGATCAGGTATTAGCCAGGTTTCACCACGTTCTTGTCTTCTTGCTTCAATGGCTTGTCTTGCCTTAATGTGAGCAGTAATATTTTCTAAATAATAATAAGATTTTATCAAATGAAAGCATGTTTATGATAATAATAAAAGAAAAGTAAGCTTAAGGATTCCTAATTTGAATTTTACTCTCTTAATACGACAAATGTTCTCAACTTAAAACTGTTATGATAAAAAAAGCTCAGTTTACTATAGTTAGTTCATACACAATACTGTAATATCTAAATCTTTACAAAAAGTGGGAAAACTTTATGATTGCCTTTTTGATGTAAGATCCATTTATAGGTAAGATTTATGTGTATATTTTTTCCACTACATACTATATTAATATTATTTACAAAATAAATAAATAAATAAATATATATATATATAAGCATATGTAAAAACCAATAACTACTCACTTCCAAAATCTGAAATATACAAAAAGCAATAAATTGCTAAATATATTTTTTTTAAATATTATTTTCCAATTTATCTTGAAAGTTTATTGTTCTCATTTGTTTTATTAATTCATAGAACGTAACATTGTCTATGACTAATTAAGTTTAAAACAATTATAATTCTATTAAATAAAAATATTCCGCCACCNCTTTAGAAGAATTTTTTGATTCAGTGAAGGGGAATAAGATACAACTTTAAACTATACAACAAATTCAGGCAAACAAATTTAGTGAAATTTATTAAAATTCAACAAATGAAAGGTCTTGGTCTTATCTGAAGATATGACATTAATTCAGTAGAAAAAATTACTTTTCAAAATCCAGAAGGAAGGAGAGAGAGAGGTAGACCATGTTGAATATAGTTAGAATATTAAAGATTGACCTTCTATACTATTTCTAAATAATCTAAATCCTAATAATCTCATGTAAATGTAATGGATATGTAAATTAAATTATCCAATATATATATATATATATATATATATATATATATATTTCAAAATGAAGATAAAACAAAGGAAAATTACAGACATATGAAAAAAAAGGGGAGGGGGAAGAAAAATAATAATGGAAAAAAAGGATAATATTTTTTTAAAAAATCCGGAAAATAAAAGACAATCTTTTCATCATCCCACACGATTATATCCTCAAAAAAGAGAGTTTGTTATATATATATATATACATAATTGAAAAGACTATAGTCACATATCCCGCTCGTGATTGTTTAGCAGAACCTCTAAACAGCATTGGCATCCTTCCTACAAGTGAATATCAAATCTGCAGAGCAGGGAAAATGAATGCTAAACACTTACTATCAGGACTCGATATGGAATCTCAAAGAAGTGGCGATATTTCTTTTTTATGCATGCCTTTAGATCACAGATTTACATTATTTTACATCTGAATCTGTTTTTAATGAAAAAAAAGAACTAAAAATTCAATAGCCCTGGGTCCTAAAGAAATGTAGTTTTCAAAGTCTAGTAGAATAAATCTGTGTGAATTGAGTATTTCAATATTTTTAATGGTGGCAAATGTGCAGACATTTTCACCATTATGTTACAAATTTTGATTAAAAAAAAGAAAAATTACCTTTATTGCCAAGATCTTTAGAGAGATCTTCTTTGTCGTGTTCTTCAGGTTCTTGAATAAGTGCTTCCCTTTGTATAGGAGTACTTGTCGACGTTCGAGACTTCCGTTTCTTTTTTCGAGGTTTTCTCTTGTTGACTAAAGACTTCCTATCTTTTTGACTAGCTACAGATGAAACACTGTTTTCATCCAGATCAGATACAGATGAACTGCTGGAATAATTGGTTCTACTACTTCTTACAGGAGCACGCATTGTGCTATCTGCATCTCCTACAACAGTGTTGATGGAGGTCTGATGATTAAAAGCACTAGATCCACTGAGATCAGATACTAAAGGTGACTAAAAGAAAATTAAAATATTTAGAATAAATTTGAATACTAATTATTTCAAAGTACTTAATGGTTACACCAATATCTCAAGCCTGTAGTTCGAAGTCTCTGCTCTCAGATAAAATAATGCTTTGCAAATAATGCTATTTGTATAGCTTTTGTGAGCTTTAGTTCATAACTGTTAAGTTGTTTTCATCGCAAGCTAAAATACTAAGTTAGGAAAATAGTCAAAATATAAAAAAAGCAACTATATAGTTCAAAACAGGGGTCCCCAACCCTATGCCCGCGGGCACCATGGCGCCCGTCGATAGGTCTAAGTGCGCCCGCTGCTTGTGCCCAATGATAAAATATTTCAGTTTTTCATTTTCCCATTAAATGCTATAAAATTTTTTGTTTATTTGTTTATTTTTTTTTGCTTTTTCAATATTGATGATAAACACAACCAAAATAGAAATCGCCAGGAAAACGACCTGCATCCCCACAGATATAAAAGCACAAAGCAAAATATAGCTGACTTCTATACTGACTATACTTTGTATGTTTTGAAAGCAATTTAGTAATCATTTATTTTACACAAGAATATTAATACTAATTATATTCATATAATGAATTAACTTTTAAAATTAAATTTTGTGTGCATTATATGTAGTGTGTAGTATTACCTATGTCTACCAACTATGAATTTATCTTAAAGAAATAAATGGTGCCCGCCATTCGACCGATATTCTGGCATTTGCTCTTAGGTACAAAAAGGTTGGGGACCCCTGGTTCAAAATAAGAAAAACTTGCGATCTAATTTTTGTAATACTTAAAATAGGGTTTCAAAAATAACTGTCTTTTCTGAAAAAGGCCATTTTTTATTAAAAAGACCAGCTTACATTTATAAAAGCTGGTCTTTATTATCAACTTTTTTAATATTTAATATTCAAAATTAATTTACATCTATTTAAATTTACTTTATTGATGACTTAAGTAAAATAATATCAGTAAAATACGCTATTTAATTGATTTTACTTTGGTGTAAGATTATTTATTTCATAAATAGATAAAATGTTATTTGATTTCATTGATGTAATTGCTGTTCCATATTTGCTTCAAAGCTGGACAATAATGTCCGAAATTATTTCCTCAAACCAATTTTAGTCATGTTTTAATTCACTTAAATTGTGCTTTACATTGATTCAAATTATTATCTTTTTTTTTTATATTGAACTTAAGCTTCCATAAATATGGCATTTTCTATAAAACTGTACATGGTTTGTTGAACCTGTATATAGTTGTATATTTTGTTTAAAAAGTTGGACAATAGGTAAATTGGTAATTATAGTTAATTTAGTATCATTCATATACTTATGCTGTACCAAAAAAGTTGTGCTAAATTATTGTTCACTAACTTTAAGAAATTGTAAAACTTCGGTCCACCGTTAAATTACGCCTAAATATGCAAAGATGTTTCCTAAAATATTTGCAAGATTTCTCCGGAAAGTAATGTTGTTGAGTCAGTTAGAATAACAAGGTGTCATGCATAGTAAAACTAGTTTATTGAATGGAAAAGATGAAAAGTTGAACACCCGGCCTTAGTTTGAGATATAGATGATTAACTATCAATAGGATGTAATAAATTGATGGTTTTTTTCACTCGTCACATTTTTGATAGTATATTCTCAAATACTTGCTAATTTCAAAAGTTATTCACAATTATAAAACCTATCGATCCAAAAATAATAGCATGAATAATAGATTGGGAATTAATTTCTCTTCTTATTACCTGAATGCAAGGCACAGCAAAAAGCTTTCCATTAAGATGAAGTCCTCTATTCAATACAGCTGGATTGATATAGTCAGACACAAGAATTGTATGGCGATTGTGGAAGAATATTGGGTTGCCTTCCAAATTCAGCTACAAAAGAAAAGAGCCACGGTTACATTAAAAAGAATATTCTATGAACTGTTCTGCAATGAGTGCACTTTATTTTTAGAGTCTTTGTCAAAATTGAAGAGAATAGTATACAAATACAGAACACAAATTAAATATTCAAAAGAGGAATAAACAAAAATTTTATTAAAAATCTGTAAAATCATCAGTGAGTAAGACAGCATAAAAAAACACATCAAAACCAGTTTCATTACTTGATATGGTCAATGGGATTTCTAATAATCACCCATCCTCTCATCCTCCATAGCAATTGAACAGATTTTAATGCTTTTAGTCCCGCTTTCCTTTAAAGTTATCAGTAATATTTTTTAATAAAGCTTTTGCTTAATAAAGCTTGCTTAAATAAAAATTTGCAACTGCTACTGCGCATACTTTTTTGACTTAATGCTTTTTGATCAATTTCAATTAGATTTCGCTATTTAAAGTTACATAGTTTAGAATGAAGTAAAAAATTTTAAACTTTGCAATTCAAAGATACATACAAGAATGATTTACTTCTTAGGTTATTTATTAGCCCACAAAATTATTTTGCTTAGCAGAGCAGTACACATGCACTACACTGATATTACAATAATTTTGTTTAAGCTAAGAAAAAGTATGCATAACTTGCTTGTGATTTTGGTTCTCAGACTATTAGTAAAATGGAAATATTAGCCATATTAAATGAACTAACCATTCTTAGTGATTTTAATTTTTCTAATGGATTCAAAACAGAATACTCAGAAAGTAGATTGAAGGCCACATCAAATTCTTCCAAATTAAAAATGCATTCCAAACCTATAAAAAATGTAGAATATTAATAGAACAGAAATGAATAAATTTTAAAAAGTCAATAAAATTTACAAAATTTCAAAATAGAGTTTATCCATTAGTTTTAAGTTCCAGAATAACTTATTTTTAAGAAAAACTTAAATAACCATTTAAATAACTTTAATAGTTACACATAGATTCCACTCATCTGTAACTTTGTCAACAGAATCTAGAATTATTACTTGAGGCAACATATTGGCAAGCTTCATTACTATAGATTTTACATACTTTGTACACAAGTAAAATCCGTAAATTATGCAACATTTTGTTCTTTAAAGACAATTTCTCTAAAAGAAAATGAGTAATTACAATATAAAACTCTTTTGCTCTGGATAAAAATTTGCTTTCAAATGTTGACTAAGAGTTCCTAAAAGCATCTTAGCACTAAAGCACAAAACAATATCAATAAAGCGCAATTGAAAGAACATAAATTGGCATACTATAGTTATTTTACAAACATAAATTTTCCTGAGTGTCTAAACACCGAAAAAAAAAAAAAAACTTCAGTCATTTTTTTTGACATGAAGGTTTTGGTTTTTAGAACTGAAACTAAAGTACGTTAATTTATGTACTTTCATTTGTGTTTTATTCCCGTTGCTTTTTACTTTAGTCTACATAGCACAATGTATACCTTTTCCTTTGTTGGGTAGCTTAGCACTATTTTCAATATCAATATTTTTGGAAAAAATAAGACTGATAGGACTATTTTGGTGATGTAGGACAATATAGGATGTTTTTTAAGGCTTTTAAAAATGCGTAGGAAATAAAGGATTTATAAAAGGACTTTGACCCCTGTTAATTTCATTTATTTGTGTGTTAAAAATGATGAAAAAGAGTCAAAGGTATTCTTTGGTAAATTTACCCCCAAATTTTGCAGATAATCAAGAGTTTATTTTACCATTATATTTTTCAGCTTAATGACATATAAATTTCGTAACTTGGTGAAAAGATTAGTAACTAAAAAGTTATTTGATTTTTACTTATTATTTCTCATGAATTTTTTTTTAAAAAAAGGATTACATTTAAACAGTTTTACAGTGACAAAGGATATTTTTGCAATACACATTTTGTGGTGTCACAAAAAAATGAGTAAATAAATTTTAAAAAATGCAAGAACTTTTCATTGCAGTATTATATAGTATTAACTACATTACAAAAATAAAAAAAAGCATCTAAAACTTAACTTACCACAGAGATTTTCTAAGTTATTATTTCTCAAATAAAGTTTAGTTAAAAAGCGACAGCCTTCAGTACTAAAGACCGGAAGACAATTAAGCTCATTAAAACTCATATTTACAAATTTTAGACTTTTCAGGACCTGAAAAAAAAAATATTACAAAAATAAGCTTTAAAAAAATTAGGAACTCAATAAAACAAATAAACTAAATAAATTTACCTTAATTTCATCAGAATTTCTTATGTGATTATGACTGAGATTAAGAACTTCAAGATTAGGCAAACTTTTCTGAAATAACCATTAAAATGCATATGAAAAATTATTTTAAAACAATAATTAGAAAACTATTACTATAATATTAAATAAATAATTTCTTTTGAAAATAAATGTAAAAATAAGATCCAAAATGAGTTTATATGTGTGACATAATATCCAATAATTGACTTGGAAACTGGACGATTAAAACAAAGTTTGAACATCCTATTATTTTGGTGGAATAACAAAGATGAAAGGTAGGAGAGATGAACTCAAAATAGTGCAGTTTAACGACTCATAGCTGTGCAATTCAAATTAAAAGATTTAACAGCTCACTGAATCACTTAGGCAATCATTTGTTGCAGAATCAATGAAACAAGAATATTATCTTCAGATTCAACCATTTTCTTGCTTTTTTCATAGAGTACAGAGTTTACTGGCCATAGTTAGCACATGAAACATTGTTTCAAATGCAGTACAATTCTTAGCTAAAAAGGAAAATAGCCTCGACTGATATCAACTGTCACATTAAGATCTATCAGCCTTAATTGCAAGTAGGAAGACAATATGGCTTAATGAATCTCTCTCACTCCACTGTTACAATGAACTTTCTGCACACAGGAAAGCAGAATCACTTGTTATCAAAGAGGAAAAAGAATAAAAAAACCACCTATCTGAACTTAAGATATTATGAAATTTACATATATCAATGCTAACAATAAATTTTTTGAAAATTAACTCTTAAAAATTGCTGGAAAATAAAAATATGTGCAGATTTCTTGCTTACGACACACAATGTGATGGCTTTGCCATTTGACAGCTCAGTGCAAGATTTTGAGAAACTTATAAACGGAAGATCTTAATGAAAACAAACAACTAATTTTGATATGTTATGTCAGTTGAGTGACACCTGTTGAGTTCAGGCTCAACCATATGCTATAATTACATCAACACTAGTATTTTTCTTTATACAAAACCTAGAAATACATTTTTCAACATTATATAGCTATTAGAACAAAACAATACTAGATAAAAATAATAAAATTTTCCTGAAAACATTCAAATAATACATATTAATTAAAAGATTAAAAACAAAAATCTATAATTTAAAAAATGCTCAAAAGAGGTTTAGAAAACACATCTTCTCAAATTTACAATCTGTTAACACCTATTTCAGTGGTAAAAATATAATTATATTCAAATAGTTTAAATAAAGTATTATGGTTGGTTATTTATTTTTTCAATGAGATTAAGAGTAGTACAAATCATATTGTAATAATTTTAATATAGTTACAAAAACTTCCAACAATATCAATATAAAAGAGGCATACTATAACTCTTTTATTAGAAATTGTAAAGTCTCACCAAAGAATTATCTAGACATTCGAGATAATTATATGATAAGTTTAATTCTAGTAATTCATTCCAGTGCGTTTTCACAGTAGAACCATCCATGGAAGAGCCAAATAATTCCTAATGGAAAAAAAATGGAAAAGTCAATATAAAAGTAACAATCAATAATGCCCAAGATGAAATTTATCATGTAATAAATAACTTTAAATAATTATATTATGTTTACAATGTTCTAATTTGATTTGAGAGCATTTAAAAGGTCCTAGTTGATAAGGCAATATACCTTAATGAACTTTTAAATACAAGGACACATATAGAATACTAATGAATTGGAATTTCATCGGGAAAAAACTGGACAAAATGAAGAAAAAACTTTAAAAAGATCAATACAATTGTTTAGCAATAAATATTATACAAAACTACAAGAATAATTTAAATATTAAGAAATTAAACTTAATATAATATACCAGAAAGCAAAAAGTTTTTACAACTAATTTTTTAATTAAATAATTAGCTTCGTGTTATTTACTTTAGAATTTTTAAACCAATATATCATCATTTAAGAACTGATTTTAGTATTCATACCAAACAATATTTGATAGCAAAAATTAGAATGCTACTTTCTAGTGCTCGTCCAATATGTGATTGAAGTAGTTTAAATGTTAATTTAATTATCTTAATTTGATACCATATTTTAACAGTTCTTCATATAATTATAAAATTAGGTTGCATTTAACACTACTCCTTTACATCAATTATTGAAAAAAATTACAGTAACTTAAATTTTTAAAGAAAATTATCTTTTTTTTATTTATTAATTATTCAGCCTTCACTAATTTAAAAATGATGCATGAAGTAGCTTGGAATTTAATATCAATTAAACTAGATTGCAACTATAAAATGTTTTATAGTTTTTTAATGAAAAAGCACTGGTGGTTGATAGAAATCTAGATTTTGTGGGTTGGCTTATAGAAATCTATATCCACTAGGGTTGATAGAAATCAATATTCACTTGGGTTGATAGAAATCTATATACACTTGGGTTGAAAGAAATCTATATTTTGTGGGTTGGCATTTTCACAGTGCTCTGACAATATTTGCAATTTATAATAGATATTTTAACAAAAATAATGCACTTTATTTTTGTTAAAATATCTATTATAAAAGCATATTAAAAGTTCTTGCAAAAATAGCTTTAATACTATAAACTAATAATGATCAACAGGTATAAGCTTTAAAAGCATATTAAAGCACTTTACCGATAAGACAGAATATCTAAACTATTATTATTATATTGCAATTTTATTTCTAAGGAAACACATCTGTTTACATTTTATACGACTATTTAACTAAACTTACAAGTTGATGCATAATTTGCAGGCATTTTCAAGCCTTTATACTACTTTGCTTTACCAATATCAGAACATAACTAACCTTCATAAGGTATATGCTACGAGAACATATCAACACTTTGAGCTGATCAGACAAAAGATCTAAACCAATTAATAAGTGTGCAGGAATCTTTCTTAGTTCTAAGACAGTGAGACTTGTAAAGTATGACAAATCCACTCCTCCACGAAGTGTTTGAACACCATGGAAAAGCTAAAATATCAATTAAAACAAAATTAAATACATATGGAAAAAAAAAAACTCTAATTTCAAATGTAAATTTCGATATGATTACTTTTAAAGTGGTTGTCCGCTTTATAAATGAATAAAGAAATTGAATGTCTTCAGAAATTTCTACATCTTCTGGAAGAAACAAATGTGATGAGAATCGGCCCTCATCATCAAGCAAGTCCCAAAACAATGTGTTAAGTAAACAAAGTGCTGATGTTGTAAGAGATAGCTTGCAAGAGCCATTAATCACTTTTGCACCTAAAACGTAAAAAAATAAGATTAAATGCTGTTGTAAAAATGATTAAATACAGAAAAGAATCTTTTAGATGGATAACCTAGTTTTAAACAATAACAAACTTCCTATAACCAAAAAAATCTTTTAATCCTTCTATCGCATGATTTTTTTCTTTTTGCGAAATAAATCAGTGTGATATAATTCATGCTCTAGATGGAAGGAAAAACGTTTAAAAAAACCCTAGAATAAATATTTGAGATGGAAATATCCATCATGCAAATTCAGTATAAAAAAAAATAATATGTCACTGCATCATTTTTATTCCTGATGATAATAAAAAAAAAAACATTAAAAGTCAATAAAAAATTGTCATACATTAGTAATCTCCACAGTGATGCAAATTTCTGTCACATGGTTTTGGGAGAATTATTTGGGATACTTGATATAAATTGCACAGAAAATAGCAGAAACACAAAAACAAACCTTTTTTCAATTCATTTTCACTTTTATTAACAATAAAAAAAATCTGTTTAGTAATAAAAAAATATTCAAGAAATTGAAGGTTTCTTTCAACCACAGCAAACAGCAGAATGAGAAGTTCAAACCAGCTATAATGATTGCCACACTTGATTTCTTTTGACAACTACATTCCTTATTATGTAATAGTCATGAAAAAAGTTGCCAGTTACAACCAATGTATACAGGGGTCTGTCTAGGTTTTGCTGAGAAGTACCTATTTTGTGAAAATTTAGACATAATTTGTGAAAAATTAAAAATTATATTAAAAAATCAACACAAAAATATGGTAAAAATATGAATTTATCGTTTCTTAAGGGATACACAAATAAAATTTTAAGAAAAAGTATTTTGTGAAACTCTCGTTTTTTGTAAAGTTGAATTTGTGAAACTACCATTTTTCCTAAAGTTGAATTTGCGAAGGTACAGCTAAACGGTAATAAATTAGGCCTGGGCAGACCCCTGGTATAGTACAGCTGTTTTGAGTACAATTTTATGCTTACTAAATGTTATGATGAAAATTTCCATCATCATGCAAAAAAGAGTTAAATTTCAGGCGTATCTATTTGTCGATGTTGCATTTATTATGGGGTAAAGTGTAAACAGACTCAATATTGCTGAACAGTGGTCACTAACCATTTGATCTAAATAGACCACCAAGTAGAAAATATTTAATTTTGAAGATCACTAATGTAGCACAAATTCTCTAAAGCAGCAAGAGCTGCAGATTATTACAGCATCTGCATTTTTTTTTTTTGCCAAAGTTTTATATTAAAAAAGCAAATAAAATAGCTCAGTACCCTCTTTAAAAATATCTCGAAACTTGTTCCAGATAAAAATGAAAAAGATGAATCGAGAGAACATCACAAAGAAAAACAGCAAACTTATTCTTTTTCTTTGGTTACAATAATAATATAATAATATAAAACTAAAAATAATAATATAATAATATAAAACTTTTCATTTGTAAAGAAAATATGATAAATATGAAAAAATGCAAAATTAATTGCTTTTAACATCAAGATAGAATTTGAAAAGGGAAATTTGTTAAGGTAAATTGATACAGAGATATTCATATCTATCTCATTGCTTACAATGCATTGATATTTCAAGATCAATAAATGTTCAACTTTATTAAGCCACCCTGTTTTACATAAGATTTTGGAGTTTTGAAAAGAACTGAATTTTCTATAAACAAAGGGTTATTAAATGGCTTACATTCGTAGATTAACAAAAGATTCAAACTAAGATATTAATGCTGGATGGACCAAAATAGAAATAGCTGTATTAAGAGGACCTCATAACACAAGAGAAACTTTTCATTGAAAATTTTGTTTCATCACCATAACTAATTTGAAGTATAGAAAAAATGAGTTCAGACAAGCCTAGAATAGGCCATAAGGTTTCAATTGCTGAGGAAAAAAATTCAAACAAATTATTGGAGGAGAACAATTGTGTAATCCTTCAAGTTACCCTCTCATAATTTTTTTTCATTTTGACATTTTTTCCCCAGGATTTGAACTTCATAGCTCACTCTAGATATGCATGAACTAAATTTTTTTATAATTTAAATTATTTATGGAGGTGTAAGAGAATTTGCCATAAAAAGTTCCTCATACAGCATTCTCTTAACAAAATACTGACAGGCAAGTTAGGATTTCAGATAAAGAATAAATAACAAAAAATTTAGCAATTGTGATTTCTACATTTCAATATAGGTGGTAACAGTTTATAATTTAACTATAATACTATTTGATCTAAATTTTTATTCACAATTAAAGAAGCAATAACTAACAAACAACAGTTAAAAACATATTTTTTTTATTTTATTAATTTATTTATGTATATTTTATAAAAAAAAAAAAGAGCGTTTGGATGCTTTTGATATGTCTGTTGTAGTACATTTCAAACAATATATTGGCTAGAACACACATTAATATCAAAAAATTACATTTTTTAGAGCAGTCTAATTGGAACTTCACTACACATTTAGAACTGCAAGTAGTCATTTATGTGAAAACGAGGCATTGAGAAAATGTAGGGTGAACTTTATAATTTTAGAATGACATAGGTTTAATTTTTCAACAACAATAATTTAAAATGTTATATTTTTTAATATTATTCAATTCTAAAACTTAATAAAAATTTGCAAAGTAAAAAATAATTTTTTTTTTTTTTATAAATGCAAAAATGAATAAATTCGATTACAAAAACTCTATAACTTCCACATATAAGGTCATTTATCACTAAATTATAAAAAGAATAAACGTTGCATACAACATATTATTTTGATTTTTATGTTGGAAATTGTACAATCACGTAATAAAATTAAAAAAATAATACAAATTGTAAGATTATTTGAATTTCAATGATGCAATTAAATACATATTTTTTAATGAAACAAATTTAAACTAAAAGACCTTTTAAGGACATGAATATAGGATATACTGATGTTAACTGGAAAGCATTAATTGCCTGATTATCAGTTAAACATTTCAAATAATTTAGAATTTTTATTCTCTTAGAAATATAATATACTTTACCATTTCTTCGCAAAAACTGAGCCAGCCTAGAAGCGATAGAGAACTTAGTATCGAGAGACATAATCATACGTTGATAGTTTCAGGTCAATATCATTCCAGAAATAATAAGCACGAATGTTAATGATTAATTTATTAATGAGATTGTGCAAGATTTGTTCGTGAAGATAATTAACAGACGATTTCTAGTTACACAAACATTAGATTCTACTGATAACAAATGACAAAAGACTTTTCCTTGTGCATCATAGGTGACGAATTTCGGGACACAAAAAAGTTCGTAATAACCATGTGACAATATTGATCAAAATCGCCTTCTTCTGGCCTCGCTTAGCAAGTTCGTCATTTCCATTTTCCAAATAAACAAAGGTATATCATTGCCATTACATAAGTCTAAATAAAAACTTTAAAAAATTAGAAACGCTTCCCACTTACTACTTTTGTAAAATTTATTTCTTTCATCTTTGATCAGAGCACGTGTGGAAAAGTTCTCATTGGAAGTAAAAAATTCGCAGATGAGAATTATCCATGAAAAATTCACCAATTAAATTTTTGTAAGCTTGCCCAAATTTGCTTCTGCGATTTTTTTGCATGTAGTAAGAATGACCCTTTGTTTACAATGTTGCGAAGAACTTCAAACGTAAGTGTGCAAAAAGCGTTTAATTCTCATTTTACAATATCAATATAAACAAATAAATTGTGATTATATCTAAAAAGTCGTAATATGTCTCTATACTTATTGTAGACTATATATGTTCCTATTGTAGTCCCTGATACCTAATAAACCTGTAATTCGCTTAATTTTTTATATGTTTTCATTTGTAGCACTTGATTGATTCACACGTTTTTTCTAATGTGTACTGAACAAGGGTTTTGAACTTTCCAGGGAAGAAACTGTTAACAAAAAATTGCATTTAATAAACACTCTCTTTCATTCTAGAACGAAGTAGTTCATGTAATAATTTTTTTTTAAATGTTCTCACCCAAATAAATTTGATCTCGTTCATTCTGGAGAGCACTCTTATTCATGCAGTATTTGTAACACAACATTCACACCAAAAATAATTTAAATTAAATACATTCTTATTTATATTTGTGAGAAGCCTTATTTATACAATGTGTAACACAACGTTTACATCGAGTGATAGTTTAAATAAGCACTCGATTGTTTTTTCTGGAGAAAAGCATTACTCATGTTGTGAGTGTGATAAAACATTCACGCAGAAATCCAGTTTAAGTAAGCACTCTCTTTTACACTCTGGAAAGAAGCCTTATTCATGCAGTGTTTGTGACAAAGCATTCTTACGGATAAGTCATTTGAAAGAACACTCTCTTGTTCATAGTGAGATAAAGCTTTTTTCATGCAGTGTGTGTGATAAAACTTTCTCGCATAAACAAAGTTTAAATAGACATTTAGCTGGTCATACTGGAGAGAAATCTTATTCTTGCAGTATATGTGAAAAATCTTTTAGGCAGAAATATAATTTAAACAAACACTCTCTTGTTCATACCGGAGAAAAACCCTATTTATGCAGTATGTGTGATAAATCATTCTCACGGAAAATTCATTTAAATAGTCATTTGCTTCTTCATACTGGAGAGAAACCTTATTCATGCAGTTTGTGTAATAAAAGATTCACACAGATAGCTCATTTAAAAAAACATTTGCTCCTTCATACTGGAGAGAAACCTTATTCATGTAGTATGTGTGATAAAGTTGCAGCGGCTGCTGCGTTTGAGCCGATTTCAAGCTAAACGCCGAAATGTGGCAAACTTACGTCGCCAGTTGGCGATAAGGACAATCACGATTGCAGACCTAACTGCACCTGTTTTTCTCCTCAGTTCGGTCTGTGACGACGCCTGTGTATGTTGCTGGGACAACCTGTCCGCCACGATGTTTANTTAAAAAATAAATATAATGTGTTAAATTTAAAAGAACGTAAGCTATAAGCCAAGCGTTCATTCATTAAAATAACACAAGTGAGATAAGAATTGTCCAGCTATGCTCTGTATGCAATAACACGACAATCCGAAAATAAAAATATGGCTAAATCATTGTCAAATTTTCAATTTTTTTTTTGTAAATTAAGTAACTAAGTCTCTTCTTGTAATCTAAATTATTCTAAATGATATTGCCTTAATGTTTACTAGGATCAAATGATAAATTGGATATCTCATGAGTCATAAATTAAGCTCATACTTATAATTACTTTTATGTTTTGATAAACAAAATCTAGTATTGAAAAATATTGCCTCATAAGATAAACAAAAATGAGTTAGTAGTGACTGTAAATGGAAATATTACTTTTAAAATGTAATGAGAAAAAAGTTCTGATTTTAAAAAGTAGCAAATAAAAGGTAGAACTACTAAGGAAAAAAAATGTTTAAGTACACTTGATAATAGGATTTTAAAAACACCTAAAGGAAATTAAAAATTGAACTTCCCTCTCATTTCAAAGTAATCTCAACTTTCATTAAAAGATGTTAGAAGAAAATATAGAACTTTAACTGATTCAAATATCTGTTATAACTATTATTTGTTATGAAAAAAAAACTTATTTATTTTGCGAAAGAATTGCGTTTTAAAAGAGGTGTTGTTTATCTGTATTTATTAAGTTGGTGGCAAGATGAACTAAAAGGTTTTTGTTGTATAGCTTCAAAATTAAATATTTTTTATACAAAATAAACAAAATAATAATAAACTCTAGAGCCTTTTTTAGAAAAGACTAAAGCATATGTTTTATTAAAAATAAAGGAATAAAGCACGATTTTCCTACAGTGTTTCATATTTTAAAATTAAAATGCTAAATAAATTATGTTTATAATATTGACAAAATAGTAACTGTATTAAGACATTTAAATGAAAAAAATTTTTCTTCTTTTTTTTTTCCTTCTCTTTTTCTTTTTACTATTATTATTTTAGTAAATCTGATATACAAAGAGTAATTTATTCTTTTTTATAAAATAATTTCAGAATAATTACATTGATTGTTAATTTTTCTTTTAATTAATTTAAACAATCAGATTTTGTAATAGAACTTGAGCTTTTTCTTAAAAATGAAGTTTTTGAGGCACTGTTGTTCTTGCTGTTTATAACAGTATATGATAAAAAAGACTTACTAAAAAATTATCATCAACCAATATTCTCTTGTCTCAAACCAAATTAAACAATTATGGACAAGGAATGTACACCTATTGTTCAAGGTCTTCATAAATCAAAAGGGAAATATGGGATCGTTATTTTCTGAGGAAAATGTAAAATCTTTTTGGGGTGTCACAACAGTTGAAATACATCAAAGACTACAAATCACATCAAAGGTATATCAAATATGTAACAGAATAAAAATGAGAGTATTTTGAAAAAGAAAAAAAGATGTTATTTTTCCAGTGCTCTCTTTTTCCTGTCCAGCATGATAAACAAGCTAACTGTTAAAGTAAAGTTTTCTTCATTTTTGGAAGTGTGTTACTGTTTACATTAAGTTAACACATTGGCTTCTGATCTCACAGCAGAGTGGGATATTATTCACACAGGGGTACATGATGGTCATTTGTGTTAACTAGCCATAGTTTTTTTATTCCATTCCTAAGAAATATTCGATGTACTAATTATGCAAGAAATAATAATTTTTTTCTTTTGCTGAATACTGAGTATTTGACCTGAACGTTTAGCTGTTGAATAGTCATACTTAGATTCTAATTTCAACAAAAATACCATACACTGATTTGTTCTTATTCAATATGCTAATTATTAAAGATGTAGTACAATCAAGTTTTAATTGATTTCAAACATTTGATTAAAATCAAGCAAAAACACCCAGTCTTAAAATACTAAAATATTTTATAAGAAAAACTTTAAAAAATCTCTCTTAATATTTCCCCATTTTAGAGTTTTTAAAGAATATAGTTAGAAGAGTTTTATTGTTTTAATTTTGTGTTAAAATATTTAGTTTATAAGATTTACTGAAGATTATAATTGCTATTTTAAATATAATTTTCTTTAAATATGTGTATACAAAATATTCTCACAGCATTTCTAGCTTTTAAAAGTTTTACCTTTAATTGAACCAAAACAATTATTCTTAAAACTCCTTAGGTGTTTTTTTCCTTTTTTTTCCAAATATTATCTAACATAATCATTTATATGGGATTATTTTTATTGTCTTTACACATTGAAGGAAAACAGATGATTATTTGTTTAGCTTGGAGGGCAGTCGAAAATCGGCCCCTTTTAGTGTTATTTTTCCTTTTTTTTTAATATTTAGTTGCACTTATTAAAAGTGAAATAAAGTGAAGAAAATTGTTTTGCCTACTATTTTAAAACTCACTTTTTGGAAAGAAATTTGGTGAAAAATATAATTTTTTAAGATAATTCATTGTTAAATATTTTAGTAATAAGCTGAACAATTATATAATGTCAACTATACATATTTTTACATTGTCCCAAATTATGAATTTTAAAAACAAGATGCAAAATTTTGTCACAATTATTCGAATAGTTCTAGATAAATAAAAAATTTGAAGTCTGGTTTTTTTTTTTTAAATTTTATTACTTTAAAATTATTAGACCAATTCTACTGAAATCTCAGATTTTGTCTTTTAAAATTAATAAGTTTAATAAAATGTAAAAATCTGTATACCTTTCAACATTCAAAATCTTTCCTCTCAGTATTAAAATAAGTAATCTAAAAATATTTTATTTAAAAAAATTATCTTTAGATAAACAAGTTTAATAAATGTGTGCTAAATTTTTTTGGAGCTTAAATAATTCCACCGATAAGTTAAAATACGCAATATAAGTAAAATTAAAATTAAGTGAACGAAACTTTCGAGATATCTTCTAATATAACCTTTTCTAACTATTGAAGCCATCCAATTAGTTCAATCTCTTCTAACTATTACAACCATGTTTTCTAAATTTTAGCTATCACCCGCATTTTTATGATAAAGAATTCGAATACATGTGGAAGAAAAAGATGTGTTTATTCAAAGAAAGTACGTTCGTACTCAAATATCTCCTCCACAAATTAATTAACATATTTATCGTTATCTTTGCAAGCCGTTAAGATTGCATTTTAGTGTCTGATAATAATACGATCATTAGATTAAAAGTTCAGAACATTCGCTAGACTTTGCAGCACGTTTTGAGTATTCTGTTTTTGATATATATCCTGTTTTCTCCAAAATTTATAATATCATTTCATTTTAATTTACTTAACATTAGAGAACACTACAAGTAAAGGATTTGGCGCTTTAATTAATAATAACATTATATCACCAGCTCTATCATAAATCAGGGAAATTCGATAAAATCAGGCTGAAAAACTCAAAGATTTTTTTTCTACTGAATGCTTAAGGCCATTATTTAAAAAAAAATTTATAAAATTTGATTTTATCAATTTACTAAAAATTGAAAATAACTAAAAATATTTTATGACATCTTATTTTATTGAGATCCTTCAATGTGGGTAGCGTCAAAGATTCGTTTTATTAAACAGTTTTCCGTCTTATACAAGCACAATTTTTTTATGTTATAAAGATTAAGATTCCATTACATTAAAATAATTAAATAATCCGCAATAAAAAGTAAACTCCCGCAGCAGCCCGTTGTGGGCCAAGGTGTCATGGTGGTTAAGAAGCTTCAGAATTTCGTGACCAACGGCATAATTGTGACAATTTGGTCAGCACTGCTCACAAACTGCCTTTACTTGCCCGACACGCTGGTACACTTCGATCTGAAGCTGGGTGGGCTTCAAGCCGCCTCTGGGGAACGAACCGCAGTTCCTCACAATGACAGTTCAGTGTCTTAACAACTCTTCGATAATTTTTTAGAAAAAAAGACAAATATTTTTTTTTCTTACAAAAAATTACATTGAAAAAAATCACTTTTATTTTAATCATTAAGGTATACTTAATTGATTATTACCATAATTTGACTTTTATTTCTCGGAAATGGTCGCCATGTTAAAGAAAACTTTTAGCGAAAATATATAAGTGTGTTCATTTGAAAACTTGCCGCAATATTTTTAAAACGAGTCAAAATTTTTAGTTAATACAATTTTTAAAAATTTCATAGAAATTAGTTGAATTTGTTTGGGTAAACAGTCTATTTACGTTGCACTAGGGCTGCATAATTGGTTATTGCGACGATCTGGGAAACATCCCTGAGGATGATCTGAAGACATACCATCACAATTTTGATCCTCTTCAGAGGGGATCTCATTTTTGAGGCCTCTTAATTAAGATCTGAAAGGGATGAGAATCAAATTTGTTTTGGTGGAAGACATATAAACTCCTACCCTAATCAGTTGAAGGATATTCCCTCTTCTCAAAAAAAAAAAAAAAAAAAATTAGGTGGTGGTCCACGAGATAATTTTCTGTTTGGTAGTCCGATAGGAAGATTTGCGCTGCTCCATAAAATGGCAAATCGTCAAAGTATGAAATAATTTTTCATGCAATACCGGTAACATATAGGCTAGTTTTTGTAATGGTATTCTTTTATTTTCTTTTAAAATAAAATGTTTACTTTTTTAGACTAAACTTTTTTAAATAGACTTATTATGAACCCCCCCCCCCTCATTTTTCTTTATCAGTGTATGTCAATCTATAGTCAATCTTAGGTTTCATATAATTTACCTAGGTATGGTATATAATTATTATAATTGAAGTACTTTAAATTTATAAAATGAAGTATTTTTTACGAATGAGTAAAATTAAAACAAACAGAAAAAAACACAGATAATGGGAAAGTCACTCGA